TTGCTGTCTCACACACATCTGGGAGAGCCTGTATGTCCACAGAACGTAGCACAGACTGAGCCCCGTGGGGTCTGCACCCTGATGGGAGTGTACCGCTGGAGGGGAGTGAGATGTACGGGACAGTAACAAACAACACCCCCCTCCCCCAAGCAGGATCTAAGGAGAACTGTCTGCTCTGGGAGAGAAGAGGAGGTACTTCCGGTGGGCCAGGGTAGGAGGTGGCATTTGAAATGGGCCTTTGTGACCACAGATCACAGCGTGAAGACCATGCACGTGCAGAGTTCCTGCAGAGCCTCAGACCTAACGGACAAACACATGATGTCTGTTTTCTAGAGGCCGAAGTCCCACACACTCACGTGAGGATCAAGCCATCTTATGAGCCATTTATCAGAAAAAGGCTGTACACAGGTATTACAAAGAGCCCTGATGGGTGATCCCTCCAAAGGCAAAATTTGTTTTGGTTGTAGTGGGGGGGAATAAGTAGTCAAATGCTGGCGCTACTTGATCTAGTTATGAGAGAAGCACCTTCAAGTTTTACCAAGAAAACCAGACCCCAGAAATTCCTTTAGCACTGGAGGTCCCAATGTAGGGTCAGGGCTTGGATGAGAAAATGATCTTTATTTCACTAGCCTCTACCTGAAACTGAGCAATTCTGTCCATTCTGGATGTGGGCACCAAACCACAGTAGCCTGAGCAGGATCTGCGATTTGGCCAACAAATTAGATATATTTCTGTATAACATCCTGGTTGTTACACAGATCTCAAAATACCACTTATGCTCATCACAGATCCCCAATGTCACAAGGTCACAGTACCAGTTATTGGTTCCTTCCCACCCACCCTCTTCCCAGACAAAACAAGAAATGAGAAAAGGACAGACAGGTAGGCCAAAACCAGCTGATGATTATCACTAGGCCAAAAGGCTGAAACGGGCCCATTTTAGAGATGAGGAAACCGAGAATCGGAAGTAGAATCTCAAGCCAGGTGTCAGCCAGTTCTTACCAGAGGCAGCGTTTTCTCACCTCCTTCCTCCTCAACCCCTTCACTCAAACAAAAGGTGTTAGGCGTTAGCCTTCTTTTGGACTGTTCTGTCATCACCCTATTCAGGTCCATTTGTTACTCTAACAAAATCTTTCTTTATTGGAGACCCAGCCCAGCCCTTGAGTTACAAATATGGATTCTGGAGCCACACTGCCTGGGGATGAAGCCCACTCTGTCCTGAGAAATTTCTTCACCTTCGTGCCTCAGTTTCCAAATTTGAACAAGGGGAGGGACTAGGGTGAGTGAGGCAGGACCCTCAGGTGCAAATATAAAGTGGTGTCGAAAATCTCAGTGATCGCTTGGCTGTGGTGGCCCAGTGGGTTGAGTAGCGTCCCATGGATCAAGAGGTCCCGGGCTCGATCCCCAGGCAGGGCACATGCCCGGGTTGTGGGCTCGATCCCCAGTAGGGGCCTGCAGGACGCAGCCAATCAATGATTCTCTCACATCATTGATGTTCCTATCTCTCCCTCTCCCTTCCTCTCCGAAATCAATAAAAATATTTAAAAACTTTAAAAAAAATCTGTGTTCAAGGTGAATTCTAAATGCAATTTTCTAAAATCCAAATCCAATGCAACAAAAAAATCCACAATGAACAAAATGCCAGAATTTTAATTACGGGCTCCAATTCTGCCCTGCATTGCAGGGCCCTGCCCTAACTGCCTGGCCAACTTCTAATAAAATTATTTACAAAAACAAAGTGGCTGGCCTGTGGGTCATAGTTGCCAACTTAAAAAGCACCGTAGTGAAATATTGTTCCTTGGCTCCTGAGTTTTCGGTGCCCTGAGCGAATGCGCCACTGGCCTCCTGGTCCCAGCTCTGGACGGCACCTGGAGAAGCAGATGAGTGAACACAGGCCAAGCTCTCAGGATAGCGTCTGGCCCAGAGGAAGGACACATCACCATGGCAACAGAATGAGGCCCATCCTTTTTCTTTAAGGAAGAAACTACATGCAGGGACAAACAGAAACTTCATGTTCTATAGTATTTAGAAGGCAGCAAGACGTCTTAAGCAGAGGCAAGCGAAAGGATGCCACTTTGGTTTTTGGGAGTCTCCACTGCAGTTCTCATAGCTGATCTGAATCAGGATCAAAAGGACCAGTTTTCCCAGTGCCCACCTGGCACTCCCCTATCTTCTGCACCGAGCAGCACCCTCCTCGAAGGGATCCCAGGAACTGCAGCATTCTTAGCACTTCTCCCCTGCATTTACCCAGGACCACTTACCCTGCTGTTTGCGCTCCAACAGTCCTGCTCAGGGGTCAGTACACTGTGGCCCTCCAAACCAGGGCCTGCTCTTTGTAGACAAAGTTGATGGCACACAGCGATGCCCATTTGCTTACCTATTACCTGCGGCCACGTTAGTTACAATGCAGAGCAACTACAACAGCAGAGGTGACAGCGTTGAGCAGTTTTGACAGAGACTAAAGCCAGCATAGCCCCAAATATTTACTATCTGGCCCTTTGCAGAAAAAGCTCACCCACCCCCCGGTCCAAGTGAAGTCAAACTACAAACACACTCACTCATCAATTTCCCCTTCTGGTCCACACCAGCCTTGGGAACGGAGGTGGGTATAGAGACGGCTTATCTGGGCTGCACCACGCCGCCGGCGGCCCCTCTGCCATATGGCTGTTTCCCATCTTATCTGGTGATAATCTGAGTATTTACCAGTCTCATCTGAGCAGGACGAGCCAGTTTATTCTCCCACTTCCTGAATTATTTCATAAAGTTGTATCGGAACACAGACTCACTCATTCTTTTTCTTATTGCCTATGTCTGCCTTTGTGCTAAAACCAGAGTTTACTCACAAGAGAGACGTAGGGCCCCACGATGCCTCAGATAGTCACTCTCTGGTCCCACACTTGTCACTGATCTCGGGTGCACTGGGAACCCAAATTCACAAGGTGGAGCCAGGGCAGATCTAAGACCTGAAGTTCAGGCAGCCGTTAGAGAAAGAAAAGCCTCCTGAGAAGGCCGACGTCATCCCTGTTTATCCGAGGGAGATAACACCGGAAGTCGGGGAACATGTGTGTGATTCTGATCTCTGGGCTCCCACTTGAGAGGTCAACAGCCCTCCTGTTATTAGAAGAGACGTGCAGATAAGACTCCTGCAGACAGCAGCCCGGTGACAGCGGGCACTGCGTTCCGCGACCACGTGCTTCTCCGAGCCACCGGAAACAATGTTCTAAAGCAAAGCACTGATCAATTCTATCGGGGGCGGGGAGGGGGAAGAGGGAGGTCTCATTTTCATCATTTCCTTACAACAAAGGGATTCAACAAGGTATATCACTCGCCTGACGTTAGACCTTAATGGTATCAGGTTTGTTCCAACGACAAGATTCATGACAAATGAAGCTACATACCTCTTGCTATTTCATAAGGGAAATAGTCGCTTTTATATAACCTATGAACATTTGTTTTCATGTCCTCTTTCCCACTTTACTGAAACCAATGGATCTACTTAATCTGTCTTAATGGCATCGATTTTTAGCCTGACCAGGGACACACAAGAACTTGTATCAAACAGAGACTGTATTTGAAGAAAAGATGCCAAAGTAGGAGAAAAAAAAAAAGCAATTTTAGATCAGTCAGTAGCCACTGGCCTTCGTAGCCTCCTAAGTTAACACATTGCATACCGCATAGAAATCTCTAAGACGTACGCCAGGGACCGCATGTTTTTGGGCAAACTGCACGTTATTTAAATCATCATAATACATTTTAGGTGTTGTTTTTCAATAATTATAACATTTTTATTTACAAAAACAATTAAACAATGAAAGTTCCTAGTACTTTTTTAACGTATGGTACTGCGTAAAACATTTTCCTCTATGAAGAGGGACCAAACAAAATTTACATAAGTATCTAGATTCGCTCCTTTTTCCATGGGCGTGAAAAACGAGAACACTCGTGAGCGGTCCTTAACACATGGCGCGAGAAACACGAGAAAACTCCTGAGCGGTACGAAATGTGTTAAGTACCATGTCCAATTTACAAGAGGTTTGGATTTTCACTTCTTGGTTGGTGCAGTACACACCCCGTGCTTCCTGTGATGAAAGACGCTAGTCTCAGGCTGTCCCATGCATCACAGGCCCAGAAACAAGCCCAGGGCCCACTGAGCCCCTCCCTCGTCCCTTCTTCACACAAATATTGAATTTCACAAAGCAGTGACAGGCTGAGCTTTTGTTAGCTGATCTTTGCTGCCACCTACCGGTCACACTGCATCTCCGGTCCCGGCAGGCAGCACCGACATTGGGAATCTGTGCATCTCCCATCACTGGAGGAGGGGTGGGCGGAGAGCAGACCACCACCTGTCCACGGGAGGAAATGAGTGTTCCTCTTACAGCATTAGGCAGATGAATTTTAATACAACTGACAAGAGGAACCATACAAAAATGTATAAGGCGAACACTCTTAAACCCACCACCACCAGGGTTAAGAACCAGAGCTTCCCAGAGCCTCCGTGTACCCATCCTCTCCCAAACCTTTCCCACCAACAGGTCAGTTTAGTTTTGTGTCCCATGGTAGTCTCAGTCGTTTAATAACTGCACCAGAGACGGCCCCGTCTTAGAAGTGGAGTCCATCATAAAGAAGCTGGTCCTACTGGGCAGAGCAGTGCTCAGTGGGCCCCACCCTGGTCACCTGGGCCGACTGGTCACCTTGCCTCATGGGTTCTTGGAGGGGAGGCATCTGCCTTCTGGCCACAGGGACTGCAGCCGGGGTGTCTGGAGGCCCATGAGTTGGGGGCAGCCATGCCCAGAGCTGGTGACGAAGTCTGGCTTGATGGCCACACCCAATGGCTGGGAACAGCCTTTGCCTGGGTTTCTGGGCAGCCTCCAGCTGCCCCACGGAGACCAGGGCGCCCGGCTGCCCGGAGGCACCCACCGCTTTCGGGCGGGAAGGTGACCAAGTCCGAGTTCTTGTTCTCACTCTGGTCGCTGTGCTGCTTCCTGTGGCATCGCAGAGAGTCGTCCCGGACGAAGGCGGCCCCGCAGGTCTCGCAGCGGAAGGCCCGCTGAGTCACGATTTGACTTTGGCCACGTGCGGAGAGCCGCCGTCTCAGGGCCCCTCCTTGCCCTGCGGGGCCCGGTTCTCCGTTTTGGCCTCGTCCCTGTGCACCTTGTCGAAGTGCTTGGCCAGGCTGCTGGACCGCTTGGTGTCGAAGCTGCAGAAGTCGCACTTGAAGGGGCGGTCCTTGCAGTGAACCCAGCTGTGCACGCGCAGGGCGGCCGCGCTGGAGCAGGAGTAGCTGCACTCGGGGCACTTCTCGGGGTGGTCAGCCTGGTGCAGCCGGCTGTGCTCCTGCAGGTCCGCCCGGTCCCGGCCCTGGAAGCTGCAGTGCAGGCACTTGAAGGTGTGCTTGATGCGGATGTGCGACTTGAGGTTCGCTTTCATGGTGCAGCGGACGTCACAGAACTCGCACTTGAAAGGCTTCTCCCCCGAGTGCACGATCATGTGCCTTTTCAAGTCCGAGCTGATTTTGAACTTGGCGCTACAGAGCCAGCACTGGAAGGGGGTTTCCCCTAGCAACGGAAGGTGTGTTTCCATTAGAGCAGGCAGGCAACACAGAACTCCCCCCAAACATGCGTCAGAACACTTGGCCGCAAAGAGACAGTTGGGTCTTTGAACTCCAGCCACCTGTAGCCTCCTAATAACACCCTTTACCATGTCTATTAACTCGCTGAATCCTCACAACAGCCCTGTGAATGGGCACCATTACTCCCCTCCCCCCATTTTACAGATGGGATAACTGAGGCTCAGAGGGGTCAACTTATTGATCTAAATAGCAGGGATCTGAACCCAGGCATCATGGCATCCAAGTCCATACTCTTCATGAGGACACTTCAGTTTCGATTCTAAACTCTCACTTAACCTGACATTTCAAAACTGAACACAGGAGGAGGAAGAGGTGCGTACAACGTTACAACCAACAGTTCCACACCCAGCTAACACTTAGAAGCATGCTTACTCTAGCGTTTAAGCTCAATTACATAGTTAATTGCCTTTTATTACCAGCGAAAGTTTCCCATTTTCCCAACTACAACACTGAGTTTTATTTATAGCAGGAACACGTGAAGATGGCAGCAGGAGACAAATACTGAGAGGCTATAGCTTCCCCTGCCCCCCTGGAGGCACTGCGAAGGGCTTTAGTTCTTTTGGAGGTCGTTACTTTACGTATCATCATCGTGACGCTACGCCAAGACGAGATCTCACTTATCCTACACGGGCACCCTTCCCCCCAGCGCCCTCCCGCATTGCTGGCTGTGGTTCTGACCTCCTAGCATTACCTTCCAAACTGACAGCCTCACAACTGTTAGCCCATCAGCTTCAGAGGTGTTTTTATTTTTGGAGGATTCCCTCTTCTTGTCAGGAATAGCTTTATTTTTACATTTAAGTTCAATAACATTTGCGAATTCTCAAGCTTTAACTAGTTGTGTTCAACTTTTATTTATTTATTTTTTTGTTAAACCCTCACTCCAGGATATTTTTCCACTGATCTTCTTAAGAGAGAGTGGAAGAGAGAGGGAAAGACAGAGAGAAACATCGATGTGAGTGAAACACATCGATTGCTTGCCTCCTGCGCACGCCCTGACGGGGGCTCGGGCCAGGGAGGAGCCTTGCAACCAAGGTATGAGCCCTTGCCCGGAATCGAACCCGGGACCCTTTGGTCCGCAGGTGGGTGCTCTATCCACTGAGCCAAACTGGCTAGGGCTGTTTTCAACGTTTAGAGTCTAGCTCCACTAAATCCTCTCTGAACGTCGTCAATGGGTTCTTTGACTTTAAGTGGAACGACGTGTAATGAAACCAGTTTTACCATAGGCTAACTGATATAGAGTTACATTCCTATCAATGTTATAATGAAACAACATTGAACAAAACAATGTGATCTGAGGACTGCTATAGAAGTAATTTATATTATGACTGAGTATGCGATACTCATCAGAGCCAACTATGGCACCAAGATTATGTGCACCCCCTTCCAGGATCATTGCCACACCTGGGTCAGTTGATAATATGCATCAAGGTTGAATTGATCCTCTTTTCCTACAGGTGCATTTTGGGCCACATTTTATCATGCATGCTCTTGACTACACTGCGAATTTCTTGAGTAAAAAGAATCTCATCATGATCTCAAGTTGTCCAGTCTTTTAGTTATGTAAGCATTTGCATGGAATTTCTAATGAATTTTCTGAGTTTCTGATGTGCTGATTTTTTTTCTCTTAGCCTCCTATACAAGTTTACCATCTTGCTACTTCCCTTTATTGCAATCCCAGCTAGCTATATTCAGATGTTCACATATAAAATACCCCATGTCAAATTTTTCTCCCTTGTTTTGACAGCGCTTATCTTCCAGTACCTCCCCTAGAATGGTGGCTTAGAGAAAAATCTGAGTCCTTGTATACACCTTTGTCTAGTCTGTCTTTGTACTTGAGACAGTTTGGCTGGGTATAAAATTCTACACTCAAAATGATTTTCCAACTTTGAAGCCACTGTCACTGAGAAGTCTTTCTAGGTGGAGATTGCTCTAGCCACTCCTTGGTCCTGCGTGGCATTTTGTGAAGCCTTCCACTCCCACGGCCCCTTAGAATTAGGAAATTCTTTTTGTCATTTCATTTTCTCACTTCTATTTTCTTTTCTTCCTAGACCTAGTCACAGCAACCAGACTTTTGGCTT